TGGGTTAGGGGATTCTTTCTGCTCTGGTTAGGTGAAGAGTCTCTTCTGATGTGGGAAGAAATCCTTCTGATTGGGGATGAGTTCCTAAAATTGGAACTTTTTTATTAGCTTGTATTCAGACTAGACTTCAATCTGAGAATAGAAATAAGAAAATATTGAATGTGTTTTTAATCTAAAGCAGGTAATAAAATATTTAATGCATTTTTAATCTAAAGCAGGTAACACAAGAGCTATAGATTACTGCTCCCATTAAAAAGAAAAAAGGACAGGTGGCATATTATAGTATCTTTAATTCATCAGTTGTTTTAAACCAGTTTGAATGGAGGTAGCACAGTACAGAGAAAAGTGCATGGACTTGGAAGGTCCACTTGGAGCAATGAATTCCACTCCTGACACTAAGTATAAAAGGAGCAGCTGCAATATGAAGGTGGCAAAGTCTGACTTCTACAGCTTCAACAAGGGGAATTGTCCCTATCAATAATATTCATAGTGCTAAACAAATAGCTACATAGTCAGACATAACATCTTGCATGCTACTGAACCTTTTTCTACCAATCATTAGGTTCAATATTTGTTGCAAATTGACTCATGGACTTAACTCACAGTTGTGGGATTTATTAGGGAGATAGTCTGGGGAGTGGCAGAGGCAAAGAATATCACTAATGAAAGTCCAGGTTTAGTCCAACAGTCTCAAGTCAGATTAACAGCAAGACACAATTCCTCAATTAGTGAGAGTCTAGGTTTCAGTTCAGCTGCACACATACAAGAAGGCTCTGGCTTCTTCAATCATCCAGCAAGGTTTATCTCAAAGTAGTTACAAATCAGCTTTTCCTACAGTCATTCAGCAAACAAAACCTTTAGCTACAGCTCCATCTCCAAGATTCCTCTTTTTTATCTCAAAGCAGTGCCACAGTCTCTTCACCCTCTGTCCATCACCACTATTGTTTCTCACAGTGTGGATTGTGCTTTCTTATATCGGTCCCATAGCTGTTAATGGTTTTCAAGTTCATGTGTCTGATGTTAAGGTAGCAGGGGACTATGTCCCCAGTGAGGGCTACACAAAGGTTGGAAAAGCCCATTTTCAAGACCACAGACCACCTCCTGGCTTTTCTAGCCATTGTCTCTCATCATCTGAAGGACCAACCTCCCCTTTACCATCATCTATATTCATGGAAATATGTAGATAAGTTGCTTCATTTCTTGAGTTTTAATCCCTCCATTTTAGATAAGTCCATTTCTGATTTTCCCAGTGTAATCAAACCAGCACTCCGAGGAAACAAGCATGTCTTTTTCTCTGAAGGATCTTCTATTACAGTTGAAACTTTGAACATCTGCATCTATAAACAAAGGTCCAATGCAGAGAAAACCATCAGGTAACAGTAATCAACACTAGGTCACAGAATGAAACATCTTGTCCTCATCAGGTTGGGTTCTGGTCAATGCATCCCTATCCATCTGTGGCTAGGTCCAAATGGGCATCAGCTGCAAACTCAAGAGCCCACCCTTCATCTTGTGTTTCAGACCAGCTGGTACCTGTAATCAGTCACACATGGCGTAAGTCAGCACACCAGGGATCCTCAAGACTCCCTATCCCACAAACCAGTAACACTTCTTCATTTATCCATTCATCATGCTGGGTAGATAGTGCTAAGGAACATGTTCAAACTCAGCCTGTCTCTTCATTACTGTGTATCTCTCACTTCCACTCATCAAGTGGCGCCAGATGGTTACCATGAGTTGAGCATACTTGCCAGCTTCCTTTAACATAAAGTCTTGAAAAAGGAGCTCTGATGCTTCCATACTCCTCCTATCAAATAGAACCAGGTGGCCATCACGAGTTAAGCATCAGCTTTACCTTGCCTCAGTTTATTAGAAAAACCCCTCTTTTATTACTTGTCTTCTTTCTCATGTAACTCTCTTCTGAGTACAGGGTGGGTTTTAATCTTCCTTAGGCTAAGCTCTACACTCTGTACCAAATTCTACTACTGTACGCATTATTTTTTAGGGCTGATTGTCTCCTTTTTGATACCCAATTAACATCCAACTAGGTTACATTTTCCCTCTAAATTAAAATATGTCCTATGTTATAACATCCACTATCATTAATATTGGTACTATATATTAAGTATATCATACTTTCCTCAAACTACAATATATAGTTCAGTGTAACAAGGTCCAGTATAGTTAAATCAACAAAAGTCTTTAATAATTTTTACAATATATCTTAACATTACAACATAGCAAGAAAAAAAGCATCATACATAGACTTTTAAAGAAATTATCAGATTCATCTTTACCTATCTTCATGCTCTCTTGTCTCAGGCCATAAAGCAGATTTTCAACTTTTCTTTCCATCTTAGTAGCAGTAAAAGTAACCTTTTGGGTTTTCTCCCATACTTTATAGAAACAAACAGTAACAATTGTAACTGTACATCTACCCAAGCCATAAATTTACAAAACCCAGCTGTGTTTCTGTGAGTCTGGAGCAATGAATCTCACTCCTGACACCAATTTGTAAAAGGAGCAACTGTAACATAAAGGTGGCTGAGTCTGATTTCTACAAATTCAGAAAGGGAACTGTCCCCATAAATAATACCCATAGTGCTAAACAAATAGCTACATGGTCAGATGTGCCTCTTAACATGTTCCTGCACCTTTTTCTATCTATCATTGGGTTCAATGTTTGTTGCAAATGGACTCATAGCCTTTACTCACTTTTGTGGGATTATTAGAGAGACAGGTTAGGGAGTGGTAGAGACAAAGAATATCACCAATGCAAGTCCAGGTTTAGTCCAACAGTCTCAAGTCAGATTAATAGCAAGACACAATTCCTCAATTAGTGAAAGTCCAGGTTTCAGTTCAGTAGAACAAATGCAAGAAGGCATTTGTATCTTCAATAATTTAACAAGCTTTACCTCAGAGAAGTTACAAGTCAACTTTTCCTTCAGTCATCAAGCAAAACCTTTAGCTGTGGTTCCATCTCCAAGGTTTCTCTGTTTTATCTCAAAGCAATGCTGCAGTATCTTCATCCACTGTTGTTGCCATCTATAATAGTGTGAATAGTGGTCTCTTATATTAGCCCCACACTGTTGATGCTTTTTGCACGACGCTTTGTCCTTGATGAAGGTAGCTGGAGACCATGCTCTCAATGGGGGCTAACATAAAGGTTAGAAAAGCCAATTTTCAAGGGTTCTATCACCCAAATTATGTACTATCAACATAAATAAGGAACTCTGGTGACTTAGTATCTTATGTGTTGGGCTACTAAAGTCAGACAAGTTACCTCCTACCATAAATATTTAAAGCCTTGGCAACCAACCCAATGGAGGGTATAAGTGATTCAGAATTGACTTGATGGCAGTGCTTTTTTGTTGTTGTTGTTGCTGTGGACCATCAAGTAGGAAAATGAGTGGGAACTCAAAGGTGACCTTCTAGCAGGTTTTCAGAAGCAGTAATTGCATGATAGGAAATTGTTCATCTTTATTTTGTGTAACAGCTGGTAGATTCAAACCACATGCCTTTGGGTTGGCAACACGACTCCTTACCACCGAGCCACCAGTGCTGATGGCAGTAGGTTTATAAAAGTACATATATTATCTTAAACTAGATAGAAGTTTGTTTTTCACATGAAATCTAAAGATGACATGTATGTTCTTGGAAGACATTAAAAAAGGCTTAATCAATGATATGTCCTTTCTTGTGCTATGGTGTCTAGAAAATTCAGGTGCCACAACTCATGTAGACCTTTTATGACTGAGTAGAACTATTCCATAGTGTTTCCTAGGCGTAAATCTGGAGTTTGTTTTTAAAAACGATTTATTGTGTTTTAGAGGGAGCCCTGGTGGTCTAGGTGTAAGAAGCTGTCCTGCAATCCTCAAGTCAGGCAGTTCAAGGTGACCAACTGCTTCATGGGAGAAGAAAGGGCAATCTCCTCTCATGTGATTGACTGCCTCTGAAAACTCACTGGAGGGTCAGCTATGGGTTGATTCTAACTCAGCAGTACATACCAACAACAACAACAACACTACATTGTGTATTAGGTGAATGTTTAATAGCAAATTAGTTTACTGATCAATAATTCACACACAAATGATTGCATGAGATGGGTGAGAATCATCAGCTATGGCACTGTGTTTCAGTTCATTAGATGTCCCCTAATGCCTGCATTTTCATCTTTGCTTGTGGGTACATGTTACTCTTTTTGGTCTTTTAGAGTTGTTCTAGGGGTATAGTCTTCCTGGGTGTTTCTGTTGATTTTACCTGCTCATCTAGTCTTTTGCTTTGGAGCCCTGGTGATGCACTGGTTAAAGAGCTTGGACTCTCACCAAAACTTAGCAGTTCAAAACCACCAGCATACCAAGGCTTAATTTTTTTACGTGTGGGAGTAGTGATCTGAAGCTCTTGTGTAACATTTTATAAACATTTGTTAAACCTTTTCATATTTCAGCATGTTCACAGCAAAGTGTAGTCATACTAGATTCTGTTCTGGATAAAAATATCATTATTAAGTGCTCCAGTTTCATTTTCTATTGTAAAGTCTTTTGAGAATATGCCCTCTACTGTTGTGCAGAAAGAGGAGAGATGTATATTGAACAACAACAATAAAAGAGATGAAATACTTTAGTGCCTTTGAATACTTAGTGGTTTTATTGGGGAGCATCATGCACTTACATGTGAGAAAAAAATATTAAAAGAGAAAAAATACAGAAAGAGGATGTTGAAAACCCCTACATTTTTACATTCAAATTGAGAATTCTGAAATAAACTGATGTAATATCTGGCTATAAATTCTGATACACCAAACAATAAATATTTTTAAAAGCAGAACAGAGGAGGTAATGATGTAGAGACCAGGCATTTTCTAAACAGCCTTGTGGACCTGAGGGCAGTTTCTGGCATTAGGAAGTGCCACGTGCTCAGGTACAGAGCATGCTCTTTGCCTTGACTGAGGATGGAATCAAGGAGCCTGGAGAACAGTTTGTGGGTCAAGGGCAGGACACTCAGCAGCAAGAACCACCACAGCAGCTGGGATGGCAGCAGGTTGTTCTGCAGCATGTGGTCTGGCAGCAGGTGGGGCGGCAACAGCTGGAGATACAACAGCTGGGGCGGCAGCAGGAGGGCTGGCAACACACAGACTGGCAGCACTGGGGCCTGCAGCAGCTGGACACACAGCAGCTAGGGCGGCAGCAGGTGGGCTGGCAGCACACAGACTGGCAGCACTGGGGCCTGCAGCAGCTGGACACACAACAGCTGGGGCGGCAGCAGCTGGAGATGCAGCAAGTGGGTCTGCAGCAGCTGGAACCACAACAGCTAGATCTGCAGCAAGAGGGGCGGCAGCAGCTAGAAATGCAACAGCTGGGGCGGCAGCAGGTGGGCTGACAGCACACAGACTGACAGCACTGGGGCCTGCAGCAACTGGACACACAGCAGCTGGGGCGGCAGCAGCTGGACACACAGCAGGAGGGGCG